TTTTTTGCAAAAAATTCTGCAAAAATCTGTATTTTCGCAGGTTTTTGCAGATTTGCACTTATTTAATTCTCCCGATGATTTGCATAAATTCACAAAAGAAAAATTACTTGCTTTTAAATTTAAATTGCTTAATCGAAGGTCAGTATTTAAAAAATATGCCAACAAAAGAAGTGGCTATTCTCAGTTTTTCCAATATTTTTCAAGACATTTTATTATTATTGACTTGAATTCCTGAATTTCTTAATTGTCAGTTTCACTTTTAGAAAAAATTTGACTAAAATGTCCAAAATAAATAAGAATATGATATAGACAGGTATTATTTTTTTCAAGCAAGGCAATTGCTTCCACAAAAGGTTATAGTATTGCTTTCAATATACGAAAATCATTAAAAAACTTGTGATTATTTAAGATACTTGTAACAGGTTGAAAAAGAAGTAAAGCTTTTTTATCATGTATTCAGATACTTGTTCTGTGAGTTACTGAAAGGCTCTATTAAATAAATTATAAAATTTAAAATTATACTTTAAATATTTAAATAATAAAATATAAATTTAAATACCCTTAATGCACACTCTACTTTTAAAAAAGCTTAAATACAATTAAAATATAAATACTACTGAGTTTCAGTAGGATTAGTGAGAGCAAAATAAGAAATTTTAAGATTATTGCAAGTATTTTTAAGGAGTGTTGTAAAAAAAGGTAATTTATTAAAGAAAGTAATAACTACTATGGCTTGCTTAATTGTAGTAAAAAAAGATTGTAATGACTTGAAATATCAATGATACAAAGATTTGCCTAATAAGCAAAGCAAGATAGCCAAATTATTATTGATAATTCTTTTCTTAATTTGCGATATATAGCAGCATATCCACTTGATGAATCTGTGACAACTGCAATAATCTTAGCATCTTTTAATTCATCTTCTATTAATAAATTCTTTACCAATTTTATTGTAGCCTCTATGGAGCTATGTTCATTTGAAATATCTCTTGCATTATATATTATTACTTCACCTTCTTTTGTAATACAAGTAATGCCAAAAATATTTTGCTTTGCAATATTTTTCCAACCATCGAAGGTAAGAGTAATAGTTTTTGCACTTTGTAAAGTTTTTATAGTCTTGGTTTGAAGCTTATTCGCAGTATTATTAAGAAGCTTTTCTCCTAATATTCAATAAGATGGAATTGCAGTAGATTTATACTATAAAGTTGAATTAAGAAAATAAAGAAGTTCAATGATTCATTATTTTTTATCCACTAAAATGACCATTCATTGGAGATAGTTGCATTTAAAAGCTTTTCTTGAAATTCTTTAATCTATTTGTCTGTTAGAGATTTTAGAAGATATTTAGAAATTCCATTTTCAATCTTTTCTTCATTATAATTAGACTTAAGGTGTTTGCTTAAAACTGAACTTTCTGAAGCATCACCAATATTGTTTATTTTACCTTCAAGTTCTTAACTTAAATCACTAGGAGTATTTAAACAAGCAAGAAGATGCTGAGTATAATATTATGGTTTGCCTATTACAATTTCTTTTCCTTGTTCTAAATTTTCAAAAGAATTTTTATTTTTTTTTAAACAAAAAGTGTATGCTATTTCTTTATCTAATGAATTCCAAAACTTTAGCTTTCTATTATCTCCCAGAACTTCAACAAAAAAATTTAGAAATTATATACTTTGGACATCCCCATTTATTAGACATTATAAAAGTTAAGCTTGTACATATAATTATAAAAAAAAATGTAATAATTTATATAAGTTTGTTTTTTAATCAATTAAATATTTTATAAATTAAAACCAAAAAGCATATAGGTTAAGTAATATCATTTATTATTTACCACTTCGCTATAATTTTTACTTATGTTTTTAATAACTTTTTTTTACAAATCTATGTTCTTTGTTTGCTTTTACACAAGTATTATTTGGTTGTTAATTAAATGAAATAGAAATAGTATTGCTTTAGTTTCTACTTTTATGAGATAAAATTTCACGTTACTTGAACAAAAATAGAAATCCGATTAATCATAGCCTCATAACCAAATACCTTATTTATTTAATAACAAATAATTATGTATTATTATTTTACGTATATCAAGTGTACAAATAAACTAATTATTACTATTTACTATCATGACCCGGATTAGTATCTGGATCAGTACTCCATAATCTAAGAATCTGACCTACTCATATAGATACATTTTTTCTAGTTAAAAGATACAATTTTATTGGCCCAATATCATGTGATCTAACTCTTTGCTATTTTCAAATACCTGATTTTATTTTTGGAGCTATTCTAAATTGTTTGTCCAAAAATCCTAAAATCTGAAAATACTCTACCTGCCAATCTTACTAATAAGGGCCAATTTAAAGTTCTTAATATTCAAAAATTCCAATAAATAAAAACAATTTTTTCTACTCAATTATTATGTAATCTATTATGCAATTTTGAGTAAATAAAGCCAAATAATGTCCTATTTCATTTATTTGTAGCTGAGGTTGCTGAAATAGAAAGAACTTTAGAAGCAACAGAACTAAGAATTGGAAACTAGACAGTTACTAAATTCTACCAACTTTGAGGATCTTTTTTTATAGCACCCTACAAATATGGCCTTGCAAATTCACTAGTTTTACCAACAAATTCTGCAAATTCTAATAAAACTTTATTTTCATTTTCTAATCCAGCTAGCCATATAATTTCTTCTTATATAATATGATCCCATTTATGTAGATTAAGCTTTTCACCTCGATATTATGAATCCAATTTATATACAACTAAAATTGCTGGATTAAATAAGAAATTAGTCTATCATTTGTGTTCTAACTACAAAATTTCTTTACAAATAGTTTTAGAAACTAGCTGGTTATTATGTATACTTATTCTTATATCAAGTAATTAATATATACAATTGAAAGTAAAGGATTATCTTGCTCTAAAAGATGAATAAACATTACAAATGGCTTTAATAAGTCACAAAGACATTTAAGCTCTTTCCAAAAATTACCATCAATAATTAAAACTTAAATATAGCCATCAATTCTTAGATTTTCTTTAACTAAAATAGATTTTATTGCTAATTTTGTTTGTAAAAAATAATCTATATATTCAAAAGCAGAACCCCAATGTGTTTCAATTATTGAAACTAATTCAATTTGCTTTCCATACTTTTCAATTTGAAGATAATGAAAAACTGCCAAAATAGTTTGATATAATCTAAAATATAATATAATTTCTTTATATTTTTCTAAAATAGATCTTGCCTATTCGATTTTTAGAATATCTTTAATCTACAAATTAATTATATGTGCCCAGCATCCCAAAAAGATATTTTCTTTTAAGAATTCTCCATGCTGCCTTCATATTTGGAGCATTATTAGTGATTATTGCAACAAATTTATCAATTCCTACCTCTTGCATAATTTTTTCAATATTTAATACTATTATCTGCAGTATATTATTGTTTTTTTGTAGCAACTGATTTGTAAAAAAATAGGTTTTGGTATTGTTACCATATCAGTATTTCAAATCTGGTTTGAAATTTATATTCTTATAAGAACATATTTATTTGATTTAGTGTTCTCAAAATTTTATTTATGTTCTCAATATTTAATTGCTAAAATTATTGATATCCCTATTTTCAGAAATTATCAGACATTTGTTTTAATTTTTATCTCAACCCTTCTCATATTTTATGTTCATTCATTTACCTTTTGGATAAATTCGGAATTTCTATTTCTATCTAGAATTTTGCTGTTATACTTAGAGAACATGCTTTTTCAGCATTATGTTCTCAAATTTTTTTTCATAGAGAACATATATACAATATCAAATGTTCTCAAATCTAAAAGAATATTCTTATGAGAACATAAGAATATATAATTTCCAACACTGTGCTATATAATTAATAATAGAATCATTATTTATATTAAACCATCTATTAGTAATTAGTAAAAAATATTTGTTTGGTTAAATAAGTGTTGAATAACAATATTAATATCCTTATATTCTTGATTAAGTAATGTAGTAGCAAGTAATTTTCAAATATAAAGTTTAAATGCTGGACAAACTTTTGAAAAAAATATTTTCTAATCCTTATTTTCTAATATATTAAAGGAAGCTTCTGAAGAATAAAAAAAACATGCAAATAGACTTTCTAGAATATTTTGGTTAGCTCTAGACAATTTGTATACAAAATTATCCACCATAGCTTGATATTTAGCTCTAGAAGAACTTGTACCTTTTATACTATCCACTAAAACACAAGATTTATAATGTTCTTGTAATCTTGTTTTATTTTTAGCCCAATTATTTCCACATTTCTGATATCTATATCTTTCTTTTTCTTTGGAATCTTTAAATACATTGAATGAATCATAATATTCATCTTTATCATGAGGTATTATGTAAAATAATTTTAATATTGAAATAAAAATTATTTTTTAAACTAGCAATAAATTGAAAAAATATTGAAAGTTTAGTAAGAATTATGTATATATATAGTACTTTATCTTTTATTAATAAATGAAGTTAAGTTTCTCTTTTAATTATCATGTGTATTGGATAGAAGAAATTATAATTTTCACTTTTTAGTATAATTAATTATTTAAACTAAATTTGACATATTAAAGCTGAAGTTGCATACATATTTAAATGGTAGCTATGTAATGATCACCACTAGATCAATATTTATATGCTATGTACACGATTATTTTTACTCACACTTTAATCGTAAATATGTAACAATTTTTGTTATAAAGAGCTGAGTTATAACCATGTTAACTAAAATTGAGGTATAGCTTAATTATATTACATGTTTAAAAGACATATAATATGTATAATAATAAATATTTAAATCAAAATAAAACCTGAAAATTAGATTAAAATGAATATTTAGGATTTTATTTAATATTAACTCTATACAAACTTATATAAATTCTATATTTATTATCTAATTATATATTATGCTCGCATATACTGTTGCAGGTTAATCAGTAATTTTTTACTAACTAGTCTATTCTATCAGACTACAAAGCACTTTCATCTTGCAATACTTGCAATAATGATAGCTCCTGATATATTTCATACCAAGGTATGTATATTTTTGAGATAATTTTTATATTTATTTTTATTTAAATACAAAATTTAATTTATCCCATTACATTATAAATTGGTGACTACATGTGACTCAACTATTAATATATATATTATAAATGAATTTGATCTATGATTCCGACTTTCTTATATCATATAAGCATGTAATATTTTGATCAAGCAAGCTTTTATATATTTTTTCATTATATTCCCACTAACATGAATTCTATTTATTGCTTCTTAGTAGTAGCAAAATAACATTAGCATTATCATGACAACCATATAACCAAATCTGATTAAAATTTTTTATTTTATTTTATAGACATATAAAATTAAAATATAACAATTGACTCATCAATTAACTCTTTCTGACAATCATCTGTACCAAAAAATCCAAACACATTTTTTGTAAAAACACAATAGCATTTAGTAAAACA